GAAAAACATTTTTGAGGCGTATCCGAGCTTGGCTTATGACAAGTTCTTTGATAATAAGATTTTATTATCGTTTGAGTCACAGGTAATCTAAAAAACTTGCTGGTAGCTGCACTAACTATACTACTTTACTCAAAGAATATAAGTATACCTATACAGGCGCCCATACGTTCATGTTTATAGTTGTTTTGTTTTCAAAAATGTGACTCAGCTGTAAATACTTCTTACTGCGAAATCGATGATTTTACATATGTAAGTGCTCTAACGCTTTCAAAGTGTGTAGGCATATTCTATAAATATAATTGTGAAGTTTATGATTTGCTATGATGCCCAATGACGTTTTTTTTTCAATAAAATTTCAAAACACATTTTATCATTTATGATATTTTACCTACTTAGTACACTTGTGAGCATTAGCTATATATCAGAATTAGAAATGAGTCGATTTATAATAAAAACTTTTCTTTTTAATTTAACCGGCTTCAAACTTTAAAAAGTGACAAATAATACTAATCTCAAAAGCGACTTGTTCAAGAAAATGCTATTAGTCGGACGGAGGTTATCTTTGAGTTATTAATTAAATGATAGGCGCCCAACTTTAATAGCATTTTGTTGAATACCTAAGTAGCTTTTGAAATTAGTATTGTTTATCACTTTTTTATCGTTCCGAACCCAAACGGTAAAACGGGAACTCTATTACTAAGACTTCGCTGTCTGTCTGTCTTTCTGTCTTTCTATCTTTATGTCTTTCAGTCTTTCCGCATTTCCGTATTTCCTTCTTTCCGTTTTTGCATATTTTCATCTTCCTGTCTTTCTTTCTTTCGGTCTTTTCGTCTTTCTGTCTTTCCGTTTTTCCGTCCGTCTGTTACCAGGCACTCATGAACCTTGAAAATTAGACAGTTGAAATTTACGCAGATGATGTATTCAAATACTATAAAATAGAATAAAATAAATATTTAAGGGGACATCTATACAACAAACGTGATTTTTGTTTTCGTTTTCGGTACGGAACCCTTCGTGCGCGAGTCGACTCACACTTGGTGGGTTTTTTTAAAATCTGAAGTCGGTTCTATTTTTTAAAAAATTTTTATTTCATTTTTTTAGTGATATTTATATTTTTTATAATAAGTAACGCTAAAAATAATAAATATAAATGTTCAATTAAATGAAAGTCCTAAAAAGGGAGATTTTGTTTTTATAAAAGCCTTTACGGAAAGTTACACATTATTTATTTTATATATAACCTTTCGATTTTGAAGTAGGTTAAAAAACGCATTTCTGTGCTTACATCATTCTTTATCTTGAACAATAAAATTATGTTTGTAATGATAAACTAGATATTATTATATTTCATCAATTTAGTTATGAATGCTATCAGGATATATAAAAATGCTTGAACTTGGGATTGATGAATTTAAAAACAATTTGGTTTTGTTCCCAAATCGTACTCTCAACCCGCAGAGAGACCCGCCCTACCATATTAGACCGAAATGTGCCCGAAAAGTGATCTTCAGGCTGTTTCCGTGATTCACCTTTATAGAGAGTTTGGACATCGCTAGAGGTTAGTGGGTAGACCCCTGCTTTTTTTCACTGGCCTATGGATGGGAGTTGCTTCGCAGGGGACAGACCCACATCATCCACCGCACTGGAGGGCGAAATATATTTCCTAATGCCAACAAAAGAGGATATAAAATGTCATCCTGAGTAACTAACAAATCTCTCCAACAATATCGGCTGCTGTCGTCTGAGACGACCTTAACGTTAAACTCAATGGACATCGAGCGATCAAACAAAACCTACTTTAAGAGTTAATGAAGGTTTTATTTAATTAAAACTCTATAATGTGATAACGCTGCGATTAACGATGAACTCGATAAGAGAATAGCATAGCAAGCAGATGCTTGATTCTCAATGGCATTTTAATTGATAGCATTTTCTCATTGCATTAGCTGACTGACGCCAAATACTTAATTTTAAATTTATTAATTGACCACGCTTACATATATTTTAGAGGTGATACCCAATACAATAGACTAACTGAATAAAAAAAAATTAACAATAACAGGTGACATATAATGCTACTTCTTTTATTATTATCAACACAATGACGTTTTGATGGGACAAAAGTCACATTGTAGGTAATAGAATTGTCATAAATGCTGCTATTGAAACACCACATAATAACGTTAACGTTAGCAGAAGCGCGTTCGGTCTGCGATACAATTTTGAAGCAAATTTCGTAAGGGTCTGTCATAGGATGGGTGACCAAAAATGTATTATATCGAGCTTCTTCGTGCTTTGGAAGGTACGTTAAGCCGTTGGTCCCAGCTACATCTGCAGTCGTTAACACCCACAAATCCATACTGTGCCCGCGTAGTGGATCACAGCCCATTCTGACTATTATTTAATTCGATTCTATTCATTGGAAAGGCCTGAAACCCAGTAGTGGGGACGTTAATAGGCTGTTGATAATAATAAAGATGATATTAGAATATTATTTTGTATTCACAGTCTCACACTGTACAGAACTCAATATGACTGACACCAAGAAATTCTTGCCCCTTTTATTCCGAATTAAAAACACATCTAGCCTATAGGTAATCTTACATATACTGTTTTATAAGTTAGATACATATACTGCTTGATAATGTAGTTTTTACTATTTGAAGAATTAGTAAAATCGGTCCAGTAAATTTTGAGTTTAGGTGTAATATTAATAATAATCAATTTAAATCAAATTTTTCCTCTATTAACATAGACAAATTCAAATGAGGTTTAAACATCAAAGTACTGAATATTTGAAATTGCATCTCATTATCTAACACCGAAGTGGGGCGGTTTCAAATAACTTTTCTAAGAAACCGCTCGCGGGCTGCCAAATGCTAAGCGCTCCATTGCCACTGCCAAGTGAAGTTAACAGTCAATGCCTAATCGATTACAACAATGTGTTATGAGTTACGGCTTCATTAAAATTTTCTCCCGAAGTGATACGTAATTATTTATTATTATCGTACAAATTACCATGACAAGTGACGGCCTACTCTATTTCTCCGAAAACAAAATTTCATACAATTTTCGAAATGCTAATACGACTCCAAAGGAACGCAATTTTCGATAATTTATAATGGAACATAGGAAGGACCTGACACTGCCTTTATGGACCAATTATCTTCATGGATATAATTTTAACAAAATCATAAAAACAATTTGATATTTTCTGAATTTTCTTTCGACGACAAATAGAATAGCCTCAGGTGTCATGTTATTTCGTACGAGTAAATTATAGCCTGTCAGCCGCGTATGATGTTGTTTTCCGTAGGTGAAATAATTTTTAGAATCGATCTAATACTGTTGGAATCTATTAAATGCAAACAAACTAGCTTATCTTTCTTCTTATTTTATTATAGCTTTTAGCCGTGACTTCGTCCGCGTGGTAAAGTTACTTTGAGCAGCATTTCTAACGAATATTTATTCATTATATCGTGTAAAATACCTGAAATAAAGTTTCATCCTCCTATTTTATCCCCTTGGGGGTGGAATTGATCAAAATCCTTTCTTAGGGGATGCCTACGTCATAGTAGCTTTATGCATGCAAAGTCTCAGCCCGATCGGTTTAAAATTGACAGTTTCATGCAAACTTTCAACCCCTTTTTTATTCCCTTGGGGGTAGAATTTATCAAAATCCTTTCTTAGCGGATGTCTACGTCATAACATTTACCTGCATGCCAAATTTCAGTCCAACCCGTCCAGTGGTTTGGACTGTGCGTTGATAGATCACTATGTTAGTCAGTCAGTCACCTTTGAGTTATATATATTTAGATACTATCTATAATATTAGTAAGTATAGATAGAATTTAAGGGTAGGTATGCAGAGGGATTGAAAATATGTCTTTCTGTGTTCTGTGGATATACCTATATCTATGGAATGTTGTTGACCAAGACGGTTAGTAGGGCCTCAGCTTTTGTATTCTGATTGTATTATTGCCTTATACCTATAGGTGCATATATCTCATCGTATTTTTGTATTTGTATCGCGCTAACATTATCACAACAATCTTTGTTAAACTTTTAAACATTAGCTTTATATTGTTTTAAATTGTAAATAACACAATCTTAAATAACACAATTGTAAATAACACATTTCAAGACGGAAATTCGTCGAAAACGAAAATGTTCAAACCTTTGTTTTATTGAACTTTGACGTTCGAAGGCAGTACAAAGTTCGCTGGATGAACTTGTATTTATATCATTAAAAAAACATCACATAGGTACATTACTCAGACCTTTAGTGAAGAGACTGTAGCCCTTGTAGTGTAGAAGACCCGATTATGGTCAATATTGCATTATGGCAAAAACTAATATGTACAAATAACAGCTGTGATGGATCATATTTCTATTCCTGGTAACTTTTAAATTGGCAAAAATCAGGTCTTTATGTTAAAATTTCCAAAACCTGATATCTGTCCCTTTGTGGTAATCGGTAACAACAAAAACTTATAAATATAGAACACATTATTTTCAGTACTCATAAAACAATGCAGTAACCGTTTTAAACTAATAAACTAAAGTCATGTAACAATTTTCTTGTAAGTCATATACCATATTATTCACTTTGTCATGTGTAATAATATCGCCACTTTTACAAACAAAAAATCTCCCAGGTATCTATAAACAATTAAATATATATATATTCATAAAGTATTTAAGCGAAGCATATAGCCAATTCTTCACCATTGGTTGTATTTTAAGAGTGCTTGAAACAAAATCAGTGCCATTTAGAGGTCGTGTTATGAAGTCATAAGTTCATGTTTTCGACGGATTTTCTTGGAAAAAATATGAGAACTAATTGGTGCTTCCACGTATTCGAAATCAATCTGAAAATAAAACATGCCTGCCTGACAAGCTAGACTGTATAGACTGGATCACTCAGTTTTTATAGTTTACAACGATACTAATTGTCAGAATGAAATAACAAACTGTCACTGTCACCGTCATGTCATCAAATGAATGAAATGAAAACATTTCAAAATTTCCAAGTCTATTTATAGTTTTTCCCACGTTCTGCATTCACAAACGTTGCATTTTTTAGTATATTTATTTTTAATAAGTGTTACTCCCTGTAAAATGGGTCGTAAGTCGCAATCTAAACAATCACAAAAGAAGAACATTGGTAAAGAAAACAATAAATTCATTCAGAATAGAAAAGAGCTCAATGTTCTTATTGATAAAGTGCTTAAATTAACAAGCATCTTTCAAGCTGCTTGCAATGTGAGCAAAAGCTGGGAACACCATTTGGAAATTAATGAACTCCTCAGACTTATCACAAATATAGAAATAGGCTATGGTAGTAAAAATAAACGAAATCCACGTCAAGCAAACATAGAAAAATACTTAAAATGGTTAAGAGAAAACGGAGCACAATTTGATGGTATGTATCATTTGTTACTTGATACATTTGTCACTGAAAGTAGTGTATGAACAAAAGGCAATGTTACACTAAACTACATATTTTCCTCATTGATGTCTACTAATTGTTTTATTTTATTTTGCAGGAGTAAAAATTGCTGAATTTGAAGGTTATGAGTTGGGATTGAAAACTACTAAAGATTTCAAAGAAGGTTCATTGATTCTCACTGTGCCTGCTAATGTTATGATGTCCGAGAGAAATGCTCAGGAATCTGAGCTTTCGGAGTTTATTAAAGTTGATCCATTATTACAAAACATGCCTAATATAACACTTGCTCTATTTCTGTTACTGGAAAAAAATAATCAAGGTAATATTCATTATGTAATTAAAACAAATCTAAAAGAAGATCCGTCAAGTGTCATATCATTTAATTTGTCAGTTCTGATATCAACAAAAAGTGATGCATCTTGGTTTAGATAGGCACCAACCCTAAATTTAAATATCATTGAAATTTTTTCATAAACATACTGCAATAAATAAATTTTTCATAATCATTGTGAAGGAATATGTTAATATATTATAATACAGTGAATATTTAATTATCTGGTATATTTATACCCATTGTAATATATATTAATATATGTAAATTAGTATTACCCTACACAAAATTAATGTTTCTTTTAGATACACCAATTCTTTGTAGTAGTTCAATTCACCACATCTTTATAGTAGTTGTTTAACTACTAATGGGACATATGAGTTTTGTATATGTTTCCCTATAAAAAGAAAATAAGTTGCAAAATATTACTTTTGGGAAAATAAGATTTAGATTCTTTTCTTCTGACTTTGTAATCTTGCACAAATATAAAAATGGTAGTTATTGCCTATTTGTAGTAGAAGTTACTAATACCTGTTGTAGGCAAAAAGCTTTTTATTTATTTTGTACTTAATTATATTGCATTTTGTTTGTATTGCAATGAATTCTGTGGAAAAAAATATATTAAAGACTCTTTTGTCATTATTTAAAAATATTTTATCATCTAATATGACATTCAATAAATCTGGTCAAGTTAATAAATATCTTAGGTTTACTTATGTCTACTATTATTACTTATGTCTGAAATTCCCATAAGTAATAATCAATTTTTGAATAAATGTTTCAGAATCCTTTTGGAAGCCCTATATAGATATATTACCAGAAAAATATACTACGGTTCTGTACTTCACTCCTGAAGAACTGACTGCACTTAAGGTGAGAATCAATAAAAGTTGCACATACTTTTCAATTCAATTGTTATGATAATGTTAAATTTCAACAATAAATAATTCCCAAAACATTTGCTAGCTTATGTTTCTTATTGAGTAATTTTGAACTGTAATTATATGTATTTGTTATACTTTACAGCCATCGCCGGTTTTTGAGTCAGCGCTGAAGTTATATAGAAGTATTGCAAGACAGTATGCATATTTTTCCAATAAAATCCACAGTTTAGATATACCAGTTTTAAAGAAACTGCAAGAAATATTTACTTTTGATAACTACAGGTAAGAAAACAAAGATTTAAACTACCACATATAAATTTAATATCAATAATGATGGAGATTTTGAAACATATTGCACTTGCCATATAATACTGAAACTTAACTAATAGTAAAATAATAAATTATGAATCTAGGAAATTTAGTTAAATAACATTATATACAATTCAAAATAGATAATATGCTTAAATTTATATCAGGTCACTAGTTATGTTACATTAAAGATCTCTCATATATTTAACATTCTTAATCGGTATTTTATTCTCAAGAAGAATACACTCTGTATAAGAATACTGGAAATGTTTGTTAACTCATTCCAAACTATCTTTTAAAGATCTTTAAATAAATAACTACATTATTTCCATATCTTAACCAAATACATACTTACAATTTCAGTCTAGTTACTACATTATTTACTTTCCTACTGAAAAGGTTTTCTCAATGTGTCCCACATGTACTCAGGTGATTCTTTACCGTTCTGTGTCTCTAAAGTACTCATTGTGTAGATATTTGATGTGGGTAGCATTGGACTAATACTTCTGCTGCTACAGTTCTTCTTTATCTTTCTATTCTCAAACACAGGAGAGGGAATTCTTTCATTGTGGAAATTATTTTTCCTCTGCCGTGACTTTTGTTGCTTCCATTTCAACACAGTGTAGGTCAATAAAAATAATATCATCGCTAAACCTACCAGACTTGCAGTTGCTACTGTAACGGATTTTGCGCTACTAGGCAAATTGTTTGGAATACGACTGTGGTCATGCAAAATCTCGCCGCTTTCATAAGAGTCAAATTCTACTTTTTCCAAAGATCCAGATACGGCATTGCTTTCAATTTCACTTGCATGTTGCAAGTCTTCATGTACAATCAATCCATCACCGTCTGCATCTGTACCAAATGTAACATTATTGTGAGTGGTTGACAAGTGCCTCTCTGAAATAAAATAAGAACATTTTTAAATACTTGAGAAGTTTTTATTGTCTGGTGGAATGTCCTATGATGGCATGAGTAGGAGAAAAGATAACGCTACTGTCTCACATACTACACAAATAACACCAACCAGTTACTTTAATACTCTTTTTCCCGTTTTATTTTATATTGAAACTACATTTTATTTTAAATGACAGAGACATACATAATGTATGTGTTTTTACACATTACCTATGTTTGTGATCTATCTAACATATTGACGACCTTTATAGCCTAGTAGTTTGCACGCCAGTTCAAGGTATCGCCATCTCTGAGGTCCTGAGTTCGATTCCCAACCCAACCGGGTTTGGTTCGGTCAATGTAGAAAAAGGAGTTTTCTGTATTATCAACACCCAGATGTTGTGGTACGTGGGCTTTAGCTACACGTCTTGGAATCTTGAGCCATGTATTTGTTTGTAGCGGGTAATTTTCGGAAATACTAATCCGATCATGAGCTTTTTTTACCTACGGGAAGCTACATCATACTCGGTAGACATAGAATATAACTTACTCCGACGCGGCAAAAACAGCAAATCACTAGGATAAAACGTTTAATACTAAAGTGTCGGTTTTATATGATTTAAATTCTGATACATATAGTGCATTACCTTTATTAGATTTATCTAAATCAGTACTCCTATTATGTTTTCGAACCATTGCAAATATTTCGTTCCAACTAACCATATCCTGATCATCGCTTATCATTCGACTTCCTCTCGTTTCGCTATCGTCATCTGTGGCGTTAACATTTATAATTGTCGATTTATAAAGAGTCCCTTCAGAATCTTTCTGTAGTGTTGTTCGTTCCGTTATATCTGCATCTTTAGTAAAATTATTAAACAATGACATGATACCCATATTCTCTGCGTTTTCATTAACATTATTTCCAAAAGCCATTGTAACAGGAATTGTTACATGATTCACTAGTGATATTAGATCGTTTGTAGAACTTTTCGTGGTTGTATCATGTGAATTAGCATCTAATAGCGCTCTTAAAGGATAGGTTTCTTTAGATATTGGTTCTAAAAGCGATTTAGTAAGGAAAGGCTCTGGTGGATTTGGTTCTCTAGATGCGTTATGGAAAATATCTGCCAAATGAACATGACTAGAGCCACGTTCTCGGTGTTCCAGCAACTCGTTTAAGGTCATATTCCTTTCTTTCAATATTTTAGAAAGTTTATCACTGGCTGAAAATGAAGAGTAAATTGACGAATTTCAAGTGTCATACAAAAACTATATTACATATTGTGAAATAAATACTATTATACAATAAATACTATAAACTATATTTACACTGAGCTGTGTGTGTATATATTGTACGATATAATGTATAATAATGTAAATTTTCACAGATAATGTATTTCTGTTGTCGTTATAGTAAAAAATACTAAGAAACAAAAAATAAATATTTAAGAGGGCTCCCATACAACAAACGTGTTTTTTAAATTGTTTATGGATAATAGGAATTTTATTTTATTTTCAACTCGATTGCTTCACGCGTTCCCGAAGTAAAGGGTTTATCTTGACAGACAGACAGACAGACAGACGAGCAACAAAGTCATTCTATAAAGGCTCAAGTTTTTCCTTTTAAGGCACGGAGCCTTAAAAACGTTTTCTTAAATATTTTTATTGACATGTAAAAAAAGGAAAAGGCTATATATATATGGTTATTGATATTATAAAATGTAATTGTTTTTTTTTTTTATTTAAGTTGGGTTTATTTTTGAATCTTTACTATACCTAACATTAATATAAAATATTCAACTTACTAGTAGTATCACTTAGAATTTCTTCGATTTCAATTTTCGCCGTTTCTTCCGTAGTTATGATAGTTGGATAATCTGTTACAGTAGTTGCTTTCGATGTTAGTGCATGTAGATATGGCTTTTTAGTTTTTATTTCATTGTTTATTGGACTCATAGTCTCTGTAGTCATAAAATCCTCTAACTCTGTTACGGCTTCTTTAATATCAATAGTACTTGTAAATTTAGGTAACTGAGTCCTAGGTATAAATTCCGAAGAAGATACATAATCTCCGATGTTCAAGAAGTTTTTAACGTCATTTGGGGGTGGTTCAGTTGTTGCAGTTTTATGTTTTAATCGTTTTTTCTTAAGTCTATTATTGTAAGATTGGCGCCGCATTCCTGGACCACTTACAGTTCTGACGATGGGTGTTATTATTGGTCTTTCAGTGATACTGGCAGGCATTTCTGATTCTAATATCTCTAATACTATGGTAGTAGTTTCTGCTTCTTCTGTAGTAGTAATTGGCGGGTCGTAGGCATCATTATCCATATCCACAATATCGGTTATTGTAGATGTCGTTAATGATTCTGTATCAAGTAGTGTAGTTGTAGTTTCTTCAGTGTCAGATTTTGGTGCAGGCGTGTTTTCATCATCTACATTCACTTCATCAGTTATATTTAAATTTGGCATTAATGGAAGCATATCTTTCCATTCCTTAGCCTTGGTTGTGTTTCTTCTATTATGGTGACTATACCGTCTTGCACTTAATGCAATTAAATCTCTATTGAGTTGGCTTTTGTAATTACTAAGCATTGGCCTCATACGCAGCTTTCTTCGAATGCCTCCTGAGAAACGACGCTTGGCAAGAATGGCTGGTGTCGAATTGGTATTTATTGATAAATTTTGAATATTTTTGACTTCGCTTATTGTTAAAGTATTATTCATATTATTACTGTTACCAAGATTTTTGATAATTTTTTTTTCTTCCCTCGCATTAATTTTCTCTTTTTCACTTAGTAAGTACTCTTCTTTTGACAAGATTCGATCCGATTTGCGATTGTTACTTTCATTAAATTCACGATCATATTGTTTTTCAGTGTTACCATTAGTTTGTTTAATATTTTTTCTCAAAGCAACTTTACTATCAGTTTTTGGTTGGAAAAGTTTATTTTCCACACTTTCTCCTGACATTGACACATTTTTATGAGTTTCTATTAGCTCTTCAGATCGTAACACTGATATAGCGTTTTCTTTTCCACTTAACAAATCAGCTAATGTTAAATTATGTCGTTGTAAAATTTCACTTAAACTAGTTCCATTTGATCTTTTTAAAATATTTTTTAACGTTTGAGGATTTATAGGATTTTGGTCCTGAAAACGAATAGAAAATATATTATTAAAACAATATAGGTTATTGTTATGCACGGCTACTACTATTATTATGATGATGTTAAACACAAACAGATTTAAGTTACAACACTAACGATCAGTTGCACAAACGTCCATTAAGGTTGAATGACATCTTAAAGCTCTAACGAATGTTCTAAATTTGAAAATTTATATGGGTAATGTAGTTCTCAACTAATGACAATTTTAATGAATGATTGTGCAACCTGCTGTATGACTAACTTTATTGTTCAAAGCAATGTTTTAGACTCAATATTACATACAGTAAAACTGTTCACTACTATTCATTATTCATCATTATTATTGTTCTCTACATAATGTTGATTCTAACTATTGTTTTATTAAATGTTGGTTTATCTAAAAGAGTTATGATTATGTATACTTTTAAACTAAAGATAAGATAATAAATATTAGTATAAAATTACATTTTTATAGATTAGGTACCCTTTTATTATCTCCGTTCATTAACATTTTTTTGAGTAAATTGTTTAAATAGTCTTTTCTTCTCTGTTTCTCAATCCCTTTGTCTATACTTTTGGTTTTAAAGAATAATCTTTTTCTATTTTGTTTTGGTACATCTATTAAATCTACAGAATCATTGAATTTATCAAAAGATTTAACTTCTGTTAATTCATTTAATGATTTGTAAAAATTTTTCTTGTTCCTATTACCTTTCATAAACTCTTCGTTTTGAAAATCAAAGTATTTATCAAATTCTAGTATCAAGTGTTCCTAAAATAATGGAAGTTTTATTAATTTAATTGAATTGTAACTTATAAAAACAACACAGGTTTAGTTTGAAAATTCGGCATAATTAGTCTAACCTAAAAAATAAACTGGAGTATTCTTATATATACTCGTACACATTCATCAAATCCTATCCATACTAAATGGGAAATTAATCCAGTTACAAAAAAAAAGGCATATTAACACTCAGAGTGTATCACTCCACATTGTTGCGGTATGACTGAGGAACGTCGCAAAAATTTACCCAATATGGATGGCATTAATAAACTTGGCATTCTAGACACTCTGTTAAAGAGATTATAATTGACATTAACGTATAACTTATGTACCTGTGCAATGTCCATGTTACTAGGTATCGTAGGAGATTTTTCATTGATTTTATTTTGTAGATTTATAAATTCCTGTGATTTTTTCTCATTTTTGTCCGTAGGATTCATTATTTCCATTGAAAATTCTGAAAGAAATTTATCTTCTTTCAACATAAATTGTGACTCATCCTCGACTTTCCCCGTTAAAGAAAATTTAGATTTTGGTCGAGGCATGTGAAGTTTTATTTCTTTGTCAATATATTCATCATCTGCGTCTACCCTTTTATGGTTTAAATCACTTGTGTCTTTTGTATACTTTTCATCGTCATCTTGAGCTACTTCTGTATATCGATCATTATCGATGTCGCCATCATCCTTGGTGTTACGGCCATCTTCAATCTCACGGTCTTCTTTAGTGTCTCGACCAAATTCCCCAAATTCACTTAAAATTGGCCAGTTATCTAAAGACGGTCGTTTCCTTTTCTGTAAACGTCTTCTTATTGGTGCATCCTCGTTTACTGGTTCATCTCTCCAACGATTCGGTCTGATTCTCTTACGGCGTCTTCGTGGCATTTCTGCGTCATCTTCTGGTAGAGGTTCGTAGTTTTGACGAATAGGTATTTTTTCATCTACTTTTATAATATATTTATTACGAGGTGCTTCATCGTCTGCAGAATCCGCTGGTGGACGTCGCTTTCGTTTACGTCCAGGCCTTCGGCGCACAAGTGAAGCTTCTTGTGTGTCATCGTTCCATGTATCAACATTGATGGACTGTTGTATCAAGGGCTCCGCCATTCTCCATGTCTGAAAAATAAAAGTTTATAGTTCAGTAAGGGGTTTTTTCACAATTTTTTTACATAAATAAACGAATATCTGCCTTGTCACGAGAGGTCCGTCCAATAAATAAGACAGTTGTCGAAACATAAGAGCCGATGTGATATTAATAAACCGAAACATTATCGTTAATCTTTTTTCTAAAATTGAAATTTGTTGTACTATAATAATACATATTTCATAAATACCAGCTGTTTGCCCTTGGCTTCCTCTAGTGTATATTATGACCTATCATCCGCATACAACTCAGATTCTTATAGGTGAAACAATTTTTACAATAAGTCCAGTAATTTCAGAGTCTATTCAATGCAAACCAATTAAATCTTTCATCTTTATAAAATGATAGTATAAATTTCATATTATTGTTTTTTTTTTATATTTCTGTACACCTTTAATCCAATATTTATTCAGTAAATTCATCTCAAAATGATCAATCATTGAGAAATGAAGTATAAAGATTTTAGTTCGACACTGTACAAGCTGTCAAACAATCAAAGCCTCATCGGACAATCATCACCTGAATTATAAATATAATATCAATATTACTGCCCTTATTTTATCTACAATAGATAATAATGCTACCTCGTGTGTTCATAAATTTTGAGACGAAATGAAAGTTGCGTTACTTTTTTAATAATTAACTTGTATTTCTAAAATTTTCAGTTACCATTAAATAAATAATAATTAACAATAAAATGTATATTTTATTCAAAATGATCGCCCTTGTTTTTAATACAGGCCCCTAGGCGATTTTGTCAGTCATCAATGGCGACACGAATCTTTTTTAGCGGAATTCGCTTTGCTTTTCGAACAAGGGTTCGCTTCAGTGACTCCAAGTTAGGGGGGGACTTTCAGCAGGCCTTGAGCTTTAATTCAGTCTATAAAGGATAATCTTGCGGGTTTAGGTCGGGGCTGGATGTTCACCCGTCCGCTGCGATTCTCCCTCAACCAAGCTTGGGTGCTTTTTGCCTTATGGGATGGCGCCGAGATAAGCATCTTCCTTATGTCATATTTAGTACTTAAATAATTTTGTTGGATTATAAAAACACCGACTCCAGGTTTGAAAAATTCGTTAGTCACTTTGGGTCTAGGGTAGCTAGAGCTAGAGCAGTCGCGCGGATTGCGAAAGGTTGTGGATCCGAGTCTCATCTCGGGATACCTGGGTAGATTTTTAAGCATTTTTGTTTTTTTTTAATATTTTCTTATTAACGCACGAGAGAGGATAATGCGTCTGTTTTTGTTCCGTAGAACTTTTAACTGTGTTGGATTACGTCCACAGAAATAAATTGCGTCGATATTTTCACAAACCGATGTAATGTCTGATTACAAAATCACACTGTTTTTTATTATGTAGAAAAAGTCGGTGTTTATTATATGCCAAATCTTAACGTAATGGGTTGCGGGTAACTACTTTAAAATTCAAAATAGTTACCCGTAACAATAGTTGCAAAAATTGGCGAACGTAGTGAATGTAGTAAATGTGTGCGAATGTAGTAAACCAAGGGCTTCTCCAAGAGGAGGGAAGGGGCAGTTGCTGCGAAAATAACGCTGCGAACTAAACCGTTTATCTTATAAAATCACAATGAAGGTATTACAACTAATGAAACCAAAAAAATATATATTCCTAGCGAATTCCATTTCTACATTCCACCCAGTGGGTTCTTTTCCCAAAATCACGAAATGAAAAACCGCGAAATCTGTATGTAAGTATTGCATATGTATCTGGTATGTATTACCCTTATATCGACGTGGTATCATCGACAGTTCCACACTTTAATTTCATCGAGTTCTAATTAACATGACTTTCTAAATAACAACACGGTGCGGTGACATGCATACAACTGAATCCACTTTCTTATTGGTTACTGCAATTTAATTATACTTCATTCCAAGAGTTTTTACCAAATACGCATACATTTGTTCGGAGCCTAATGTCATATCCACACTAGAGTGATCGCGTTATATTTTTGCATGACCAATAATAGTAATTGTTTTTGTGGTTGTGTAATTGGTTATAAATAAAATAGTGATATCTCTTCCGATGAATACGTTCTTTATTCATTCCATATATTATATACATATTTGGCTGTCTGATGGAAATTGTTTATGTCTGATGAAAATCGCTTATAGGGGGCCGTCCATAAATAACTTAGATTTTTAACACAACACCCCCCCCCCCTCCTGTCACCTATTTATCTATACAAATTCTACTAAATATAGTTCTATGTCACAGTTCGTCGATCCCCCCCCATCCTAAAGTGTGACGTTATTTATGGATGACCCCTAGCTAGTGATAAAACCACAGATAGTTGCACTATATTGTTCATATATAGTGTATTTATGGTCTTTACAATAAAGTATGATTATTGTCGTGTCTGGTATATTCTGATCAATGTGAGTCTACCTGTTGGGTAGTCCCGATAGTGTGGATTTAAAACATTACGTTTGTTGTTAAAGTGTTATAAATAATCCTCGGCTCCACAGTGAACCACATATGTATACAAATAATATAAAAAATAAAGATTTCAGTGATCATTTGTTTGTTTGCATCGAATAGACTCCGATCATACTTGATCGATTTTAAGGATTTTTCACCTAAGGGTAAATACCATTTAACTATGTCATCATACGTGGATGACATAGTTAAATGACTACAATGATATTAAATTACTATAATTTACGAGGGCGAAGTCGCGGAAAAAACAGCCTGTTTATAATACCAATAAAACAGCAGCATAATTACGAAGAAATCTAAAGAAATGCAAGAGAATAATAATGTGACAGTACATAAAATAAACAACATTAAAACAGTTTCATCGCGTTTGTATTTAGTTTTATTGACGTTTCAGAGCCAATACACAGGGCCTACTCTGTTTGTACACGAACGAAAATTCGACAAATTTCGGATCGTTCTTATAATTTTGTTGATACAATATCCGTGAAGATTGTCTTTGCATCAGAGACAGTGTCAGGTCCTACCTCTTCTTTTCATCATAAATTATCGAAAAATAGACGAAGTTTTTCGTGAAACAGAGTAGATCTCCAGGTCCCGTGTTCACATAAGACTAATGTGTTGACTGTTTTTTTAATTAAGAGTATAGCTACCTTCAAAACCAATACTATTGGATACATTCACAAGACAAAAACATATGGCAATGTTTACATTTGTTAAATTAAATGATTTGAAATGCATTTGACTTATTTGAACATAAAGAGTATAGCTACCTTCAAACCAATACTATTGGATACATTTGCAACACAAAAAAAAATAGCAATGTTTACATTTGTTAAATGATTTTAAAATACATTTTAATTATTTGAACATATGTGAACATGCGTTAGGAGGACCCAAGCATTGCATAAGATTTGACAATCCAAAAATAATAGCGGGTGTACAAAAATTCATCCCTAGAATGATATGTGAGGCTATTGAAACTAAAAAAAAAACAGTTTTTTAAGAGATGAAGGTTGGCATTACTGGCTTGGGATCCAGTAATAAGTCAATAAAATCTCAATCCAGATCACACATTGCAAAACCAAAAGATACAAAAATAGTTTCGCCAGTTCTTCTCAGACAAGACTCCCAAATTTGGAACTGGTGGTAGATGAAGGTAGCCAGGGGTAAATGAATAAGTCAATATCTGTTTTAAAATAATTTTATAAATATAAACAAAAAAATTTTTTGTCCTGTAAATATGTCCAAGGTTAGAAGGTAGCTATACTCTTAATTTAAAAGACAATCAGCACCTTAGTCGTATGTGAACATGGAACCTGTAAAGGGTCCGAAACGTCAATAAATACAATCGCGATGAAAAAGTTTAGAAGTTGTTTCATTTAAGGGTAGTGCGCGTGAAAATATAAAAAAACATTATGTGACAATACCTTAGAAATATGATTTAGCTTTCTCTGTTTTTATCACTGTTTATTTGAACGTTATTTTTCGCTTTTATTGTACTTTTTTTATTGAATTAAAAATCCAAAAATATTTCTTGCTTTATGGTATTATACATAAAATATATATCCGGTTTATGTAAACTTTGTGGGCCGTATATTTTTTTCTATATATTATCCAGTGTGAATGAGCGATAATTGGTTTCACACACGGCTCGATACTTTTTTTTACAATTAACAAACAATATATGCAGGTTATGGAGCACTTCACAAAGCTTACGTAAGTCTAGTTTTCCTATCAAAAGATTCACAAGTCTCATAGCATCTACCTCGCGAATAGTGGCGCCATAGAGCGAAATGTGATATCTATTTTATAACTGTAAAATATCAATTATGTGAGCTTTCAAAAATCTTCTCAATATCAATAAACTTTATAAGTACCATTGAAGTTATAATTGTAGGAAATGTCAATTTCAATATTGGCTTTCATGCACGTTTCGACTTTCGCCTATATTTTTTAATAATCTCGATATACGGTTTATTATTTTGAAATTACACAATATTAAATTTGAATCACATAACAATATTTATTTTATAAGTTTACTATGATATATTTTTCAGTTTTTCCTTTTCGTGGTTTGATTTTTATCATTTTATTGCGATTTAATTCTTAAGTAAGCATTTTCGATGATTTTATTTTAAGATATACGAGTTGCAGACAAATTATAATTATACCGTTCTTAACTTTATGTGATAAAAAATGTTAATAAGTTCATCGACGTTCGTCACGCACTGTGGTGCTTTACCGAAATCTCCCGACTGTGAAGGTTAACCACATTTAATACTTTATTACTTACTTTAAAATAACTACTACTTTAAAATACTTTATTTTCATCTTAATCAGATACAATACGATCGAAATATACCAAGGAGTAAGTGTACATTTAAAAAAAAAATATCTATCTATCTATCTACATTTATAATCTAAACCAAGGACTTTTGAATAACCAATTTTTATAAATAAACATCTTTGTCATTTAGACTATTCTTGGACCATGTTTGGACCATTATCTATTCCA